GTTATCTATCTAATAAAAATACCCAAAAGCTGTTTTAAAATAAAAAATATATTTTATTTAAGAGGTATTTCTAGGGTTTTAACAAATGTTTCACATTTATTTTTAAATCAATTATTATTGCGGATTGGGAAGTTAAATCAGATTTGAATGCAAAAATAAGTAATGAAATTAATTGTTTGCCTGATTATTTTAAAGTTATTAAATTATGAAATGTATATCGATGAAAGAAAGTATAAAAACATTTTGAGAACGATAACCAGTCTCTATTCATTTTACACTCAAGCATTAAATTTTTGCGTCGCAATAAAATTCATAATGGTGCTAAGCTGCTGTACAAGTTAGAAATTTCTCAAAATTACAATTAAAAAACTATTTATATAACTGTTATTTTCTAATATTGAAGAAAAAAGCAGTCAAATAATCATAAATAAGATAGTATTCAAATTGTTCACTATGAGAAATACCATTTATTAATTGATTTCACTTAATACGCTTAATAACAGAAATTTTTCGCACCAGCTAGGTCCATTTAATGAATCCCCACTTCGTTCCTTGACACTGGATATAAAATATAGTCGAGAAGGATATTATGTGACATTCTCTGCAACTGATAAAGAGTTTCCAGTATCCTGCACCCCCAATTTGTATCCTTGGACTATTAGATTACGATACATAGATGGCATACATAGATGGCAGCACCGTAAAGCTATAGAGCTTAACACTAAAGTACTTAAACTTAAAGTGCATTTCTTATCTCTAAAGATAGGTGAGACAGCCAGATAAACTAATTATACTACATTTCATGGTTTATTTGATAAAACACAAATCAACTCCTACCTAACAAAAAGCCAAGCTCCAATGCCAATTAAAAATTCCTTTTGAAAGTCTTGAAATCATGCTAATTGTAAATGGCCTCAAAACCGTATAGTTTTTTATTCGTGGTATTTTAACAATACTAGTTGTTAACGGTTTCAACTCTATAAAAGTATTGTTTGTAACTCTTTGGCCACGACTATATTCCCGATAGATGTCTTTTCGGGGCCTTTCGATTTTTTTAAAATGTATTATTAAGTAAAAAGAAACAAGAGAAAAACGAGGGAAATTAAGAAAAATCAATAAGTTTTAATTATTGCGCATAACCTCCAAGCATATCGAATCCATAAAATAAGTTCAAAATGTAGAGGGAACATGGAAAATTTCAGAATAATGAAAAAAGAATGGAAGAAATTTCTTTTTTTAAAAATAAATTATTTTTCTTCTATTCTATTAAGAATAAAATAGAAGTATATTAAGAAAAAAAAAGAATATAAGGAATATGTAGTAATTTTTATTTATCCAAAACACAAATCGACAAACTCATTAAAAATTTGATAAAAAAATAACGGATACCTAACTAAAGCAATTGAATTCTATATAAAATCATTGACTTAATTGTATGTTATTATAAATACATTTACTACATTCTTTGTTAGTTTGTATAAATTTTACATGCGCAAATCCATTACAGGCAAATCCGCTGATAAAATTCATATCTCTTTCTCTCTTTTCATTCTTAAATAAAGGTTAATTTCCTAAATCATTAAAATTGTCTAATTAAATGTCAATATTATTAATCTTAAAAATTTCTTTAAAGTATCCAGTATAATATTACTGTGAGCATATATGTTTTCGAGCCAATCTTTGGTAACTAAAAAATCAAACGTGCTTCAGTACTACGGTAAGAACGTACTATGAAACAACATTCCTCTATTTGCGCCTTTACCTAAATTTGTGCTTCTGTTTTCCTATTTTGTAATCTGACAATCTTATTACTAAAATATTTTAAATCATTCTTGAAAATTTTCCCGTTGATGTAAATTCATTTGAATTGAATATTCGCTGCATGGATTGCGTTTTATGTTTTGTTCTGTTTTTTATTTACATTTTATTTTCTGTTTTTTATGTGATACTTATCACTTAATGTGTTCTATTCTATTTTCATTTCAAAAAAAATTTTGAGTGCTCCTCACACTATTGTATTAATATATTTTTCTTTGACTGTATTGATACAATATTGGAAAGTATTCCTTTTTGCAGATAAAATCGTGTGAGCTGATGATGAGGTTATACTTTTCTTCCCGGATTATTTTATTATTTTTTTGAAATAATTTTCCTTTTTTTTTCCTTATTCTGTATTTTTTAAAATATTTTCTCTACGTTTTGAAACATGGGAAATTTCGCCATATTCCAGTAGTTTTAAATTTAATAACGAAGATATAGATCTGCTATATTCATAAATGAAGACATAGATCTTTAATTGCAAATTTGTCATTCCGACAGCTTTTCTTGTAAATAAGTTTTGCTTTAAAGTTATGAACATTTAGGGTCCTTTACCTGATCTGAATGGACTTTGAAAATAAAATTAAAAGACATTCGCTGCTTATTGAAAATTAATTATTGCCAAAATTCAATGAGCGCAGAAAAGGGTTAAATATACGAATAATTTATTCAAGTTATAAAACATTTATTAATTTTTCATCAGCGGAATCAATGATATTAGAAGGAAATCCGCAATCTAAAACGATTCCTTTATGGTAACGGAGTTTATTGTTGGTGTTAATTTTGGAGATTTTTAACAAATATAATTCAGAGAAAAGTTAAATGTCGTTGTTGGATTTATGTATCTCAACTCCCAACTCAACATCACTGATTTTATACTAGGATGTTATTATTGTTATTCCATAATAAAAAGCCACTGTTGAATTTATTTATGACAAACCCTTAAATAGAGCTGAATTCTATTTATTAGATCCTGATTTAAAAGCAGGAATAGTTCCGATACTGGAATATCACTGAATTTCTGCTTAAATTAATTTACTATTCGGTTTCATCAATTTTGCGATTATTCAGCTTCGATTTGTTACAATGTATGCTTCAAAATTGAATTTTAATACTGTATAAAGTCTGATGTTAGGTTTTAAAGTTTAGTTAACAAAGAATGCTTTTCATAATGTTGGAATGATTATAAATTCAGCAGCATTTATAAATACGTAATTTATGCTTTCTGACGTATTGGAAAATCCAATGATTATAATATCTTTAAATTATGGAATTCTTATTATTCAAAAATTGATAAAAAATGTAAGTAAATCCAATATAAAAAATGATAATTGGGTAAAATGCAATTAATCATATGCATTTTCTTGCTTTTATTTAGTTTTGCTTAAACATAAGGGTTGTACCTAAGGTGTTTATTCAGTAGTTCTTATAGTGTTCCGGCTCATCCAACGTGGATGAACCCACTATTGTGAAAATTTTAAAAGATAAAAATAATCTGATATTATCATTAATAGATTCATTTTAATTTTTTTTATATAGGTGACAATTGCAATAATATTTTCAGTAATTTTATTCGCTTAAGTAGAAAATTATTTAATTCTATTTTTAAAATTACTATATTTTCAATTCTATACAAAATCAAAATTTCAGAATCCATTAACACCGCATTGTAATATAATTATTAAGTATAAAGCACACAGCATGTTAATAAAGGGAGATTTTTAATGATTATTGCATTCTGAAATTGAAAAAAGGCTTAAAACAGTTGTAGAAAAATTTTAGTTTCTTTAGATTTCGGTATGATGTATAATTCGGTATAATTTTTTACTACTATATTCTATTGAAAAAGTGAAAAACAATAATAGTTTTATTTTAGATATATAGCCCACCTTCAGTTATTTGAAATTTATTCAAATTATTTTATTTTCCCTTAATATAATATAATCACATAAGTAAAATTTTTTTAATACATAAACTGTGAGACAAGATTAATTAGTTAAATTCATTAAGAACAAGTTATCTAATCTAAATGATCTTCCATTACCTTTGATTTTACCTTTAAATGTTACTACTGCATGATATAATTATTTTTTAAATATTATTATTATTGTACTGAAATAGTATTATTATTACAATGAAATATTAATATAATTATACCATTATACTGATATATTATTAATATGCTGAAAAAATATTATTATATTCTACTAAAATAATAATATTATTATATTGAAATATTTTTAAAAATGTAACCCTTACTGGTCAGGAATTCAAACTAGCAAATTGCAATTATTAATGCATTAAAAGAATTTGATCCATGCTCGTGTTGCTCCCCTAACCCACGTTTGCTGCGCCATCATTTTATTTCTTGAAAAAGATAGTTGCATTAAAACTAAATATAATTAATGCATTCTAAAATTTTTAATTGTTTCAATAAAGAATTGGTACCACAAGTTTAGTTTAGAAAAATATTTTTGCATTATTTTCATTGTAACTTCATCAAAAGTCTTATCCCCCCTCCTATTTTCTAGATAAGTTTTGGTTTCAATAAAAAAAAATCATTAAGTATTTTTCACCCCGTATACCGATAGTCTGAAAATATTTTTCAGTATTACTTTTGAATTTGAAATAGTTATTTCGTATTTATTATTTTAATTGCAGAATTTTTACTTAAAACTTTTAATTGAAAAGAATAGGTTATTAAAAAAGGAAGTGTATTTTTCATTGACTTTTCATTAAACGATGGTTAAATATCTTTATTATTTAACGTTGCATTGATATTTAATTTTATTCTCCTATTTTTAATGTAATAAAAGGAGGTGACGCATTGTTAAACTAGTAACTGCTGAATTGGTCGAAAGCAACAGTTTGAGAAGTAACATTTTGGCTTTTGCTGAAAATAATTTTACAGTCACTTGTGTTTTCAAAGGTGGCTAACAAAACAGGTGCTTACACTAAGAGGAATAAAAATTTTTCGACTGGTAATAAATACGTACATGTATTCTTTATATTAAAAATACATTCTGGCATGTAAAAATTTCATTCGGTTCATTTTAAAAACTGACATGCACGGCAGGTCATTTAAAATTTGTTATATTCTTCAAACCTTGTTATTCTTATAATTCTGAAAATTTCTTTCCATGTTTCATAGTATTGTAATTTCAAAAAATTAGAAAACTTACCTAATACAGTAAGTCGAGCTACAGAGCGAATAGGTTTTTCGTTTTTGCCCGGCCCAACCTAAAAAGATAACAATATTATTTACAAATGAGAAGGGAATAAATAAATGGATAAAAGAGACACAAAATGAGATATTATGATTTAATTCTTACAAATACATGAGCGCCACTTATGAAAAACCTTCAAGCATTTGAAAGGAATACATTTAGATAGTTGTACTTTGCCGTGGTATCAAAAAGTAAATATAAAGGACAAAAAAAAATTTAAAATTGAATAAATTCAAAATTGAAAATTCAATAATTTTCGCATGATAAGGTACTTATATTTTTTTTCAAAAATAAGTTTTGTTTTATCAGTTTTTCTTTTTTTTTTAAATTCCTTTTTAGCATTCATAGCATTAGAATTAGGAAAAAAATACCACATGAAGCCACTTTTCTCAAACTTAATCGTGAAGAACTACTGTTTTCAATGAGACGGTAGCATAGGTATGTGAAAAACGTTGCCATGCTAGTGTTAACCAACAAAAAACATTACTATTAAGGATTACAAGACTAGTACCAGATTGATTGCGGGGTAAACTTCGAAGGTGTTTCTGATGACAAAATTGTACCGATTCACATCTCCCAGTCAAAGAAATAGATTTTGATGTCTTTAATCTACTATCATGAGATTTTGACAACGTCTTTGTTTCCTTATTATATAGAAATTAAACTATGGAATTTCAGACGTACATTGTTCTAATATAGTTTTTGAGACTAAAAAATGCTTATTAAGGTCTGCAATTTTAAAACACTCGATAAGAGAGAGGTTTTTTAAGTAGTGAATATTATTTTTTTATTATGATAAAATTAATTATCACATTTTAAGAGGTTAATTTATTTTATTATTCTAAAAGACAGATTCACTAGCTGATTATGTTAAGTAGAGACAATAATTTTTGTTTTAGGTTTCTTTTCAAGAAAATGTAAATTAATAAAATCTGAGAATTATCTATTAAAATTATCAAAAAAGGGTCTATATTGAGTTTAGCATTCAATCGACAAATTTACAAGAAATTATTTTCTCTATTTTAAATATTTACACATTAACTTCCGTTTCCTGCTTAATAGGATAATTTTTATTGCTAAAGTAATTCAATTATTGTATAAATTAGAATGCTTTTGTGATATAGCAAATACAGTGCTCTAAAAATGCTAACTTATAGAATTTATTTAAAAAAAAATTCAATAATTGTGTCTCAAAACATTAACGCTCTTTTCGCAAGAATTAATTCAACCGATAATCAAATAAAAAGTTTCAGTTTTTCTTTCATTTATGATTCGTTAAACTTGCGTGTAAAAATGTATTTCTTGCAAAACAAAGACCAAACGTAATTTAAGAACGTTTAAAAAGCACAAAACTATTCCTTTTCATAGTTATAGAATTTATTTATTTCATTTTTAAACACACTAAATATTATCTAGCCTTATTTTTATAGAATATTTAAAAAGTACCATTTCAATGTCTAAATACTTAATTAGTGTCGTCATTCATAAAAAAAATAAATTTATTTAATTTATAAAAAAATGTTTATTTTCCAAAACAAAATTAGTTTAGCCTCAGTCCTTAGTATTTTTTTACGAACGAAATGACAATAATTTAGTTTCTATGTTTAGAAAATAATTAGCTCCACTGCCTCATTTATTTGCTTCTATGTCGAGTCCTAAAATGCACGGAATTCCGATGGAAGGAAAAAGGATAACTCTTAAAAAATTTCACATATCTAGCAAAGTAAATATGCTTTGAGCATTTACTTTCTCTCTCTCAAAATTTCAGATAAATCAACTGCGACAAATAATTAAACATTCATTTATATGCAGATACAGTGACTTTTAGTTTCAAAAATCGTGACACGTATACTTTTAGGAAAACTAACCACTCATGAATGATTCTCTTAAGAAGAAAAGCTGTTGAGAATTAATTAAAATCGGATTCGACTGGTTGGCGCTTCACAGTCCCCATATCTCAAGAGGCCATTTGTTCTTTTCTCAATTCCAATTCTTTGGAAAACAACAAGCATCGTAATGAATTGTTTATTTCAAAGTTTTATCTTTTCTCCTTTTATAACATGTATTCTATTAATTTGAAGCAAAGTCTAGAACTATTTTAGAATTACCATCACTGTGATGTGGGAAATGAATAAAAGAATCTTTTTATGTTCAACATTTGTGAGATGTTGTTAGCTATTATGGTGCTTTAATTAAATGTGTTTATCAATAGCATTAAGAGTACTTTTATGCTAGTTTAATAAAATAGATTGTTAATATATTTACCGTTGCAACTGTCTTGTGCTATTTTTTCTATTATTGAAGAAAAGAAATATCGTTTTCTTTCTTATTCTATGAAAATTTAATTAATAAATGTAACTATTTCTCTCAGTCTTATTCTATGCTACAGCCTAATATAACCTTTACGAATTGCTTATTGATCTTAGATTTCTTTTATTACATTTATTAAAATATTAACTTTTTAACGCATAATACATTATATTACTATAGCCTTTTTGCACATTATGGATGTATTTGGTACCTTTCTAAAAATACTTAATGCCTTTATCTAGGATACAGATTCTGTTTTCACAAAATTCTTTCAACCTCAGAGTCCAAAAAACTTGACTACACAAAACATAGTAAGTAGACAAAACGAAAAAGAAATAGTTTCTAAGGAACTGGAATATTATTATTATCATAATATTGTTTCAATATACGCTACTTTCAAAGCGAAAAATATAGAGTCAAATATATTCTCCTCTTTCATACTTAGTCACGAAAAAAAGTCAAGGGTCTTGCTTTGTTTAGTAAATCTTCCTCAATATTTAAAAAGAAAAGAACTTTAATATTTGGTTTTAAAATATTTGAGATCATACTTAATAAGAATTATTAACATCAAATTAGTTTTGGTTTTATTTTCTTAATTTTTGATTAAATAAAAAACTTAAAATATGTATGAAGGAACATAATATACACTATCAGGAGGAAAGTGACGGGACAACTGTAAAGTTTGGTGGAGGAAGATTGATGGTATGGGCCTGTTTCTCCTGGTATGGGGCTGGCCCACTGGTGAAGGTAGATGGTATAATAAATGCCATTGAATACGGCTATATTCTCGATAATCATGCCCTTCCTACCTTGTGGACAACGTACGGTATGGTTGATTGCTTGTATCAAGACGACAAAATCCCATGACGCAAGGAGGACTCTTGATTGGTATGTGAACAACAGCGTTAAACGCATGGAGTGGCGGTGCAGATCCCTGATCTTAACCCAATTGAACATCTCTGGGACGAATTGGACCGTCGGTTGAGGGCCTGCACCCCACTCCCCAAAAGCAAGCATGAACAATGGAACTTCCTGTTAAACATTTGGAAGGAAATTCCTCTTGCCACTATGGTTAATTTAGTGCAAAGCATGATCAGAAAAGTTGCAGCTGTGATCGCAGCCAAAGGAGGCCCTACCTCCTGCTAATTTTAATAAATATGGGTTTATGTCGTTATAGTGTCGTGTCCCGTCACTTTCTTCCAAATAGTGTAGTTGAAATAGGGAAAGTATCATGTTAGTTTTAAAAGCCCAAAACTATTAGAAATTTCTCAGAAAAAATGGTTAAATAACTTTTTATTGGATGGTTATTTTAACATATTTAATGAAAACAGTCAAGAAACCATAAATAAAATGGTAAACGAACTGTCAAGTTTGAGAGAAACTGTTTAATAGCTGCTTTCACCTAATATGGTTAAACAACCAGAATTTTATCGCACCAACTAGAACCACCTAATAAAACTACTTACTTCTTTGCAACTGCATACGTATCATAGCCGAGTGGGCTTATCTGCCACTTTCATGACCGACGGAACTGGAGTTCGAGTTCTAGTATTGATACCACAATATTTCCTCCATCCCCTTCAACGCATGAAGAGTTTCCAGTGTCCGGCACTCTCCAATGCCAATTACCTTACGAAAAGCCAAGCTCCTATGGTTAGTTAAATAATATATATATATATTTTTTACGTTTTTGAAAAATGCTAGTTGTTTATGGCTGAAAAACCGTATAGATTTATATTCATAACCATACTTTTTGAAAATAGTTTCAAAAGCCATAACGGAAAAAAATGTTCTTTACCGTAATTTTTACGGTTAATCGGATGGACAGACATCTACCAATTATTTTACCATAATTTCAGAATAAAAATTTTAACAGTTAAATACTTATTTAAATTCTCTGGTAGCTAAGGCTAATGTTTTATGTTTTTTGTGTAAAATTCTATCATGAAACTCATTAAATTTTTTTTACAAACTGTATATAATGATAGTTTAAACTTACTTGACACTGAAATTCTGCTTCGTCCTCTAACCGGGCATCATGAACTAACAAAGTGTAGGCTGATTTTGAATGATCTACTCTCATTTCATATCTTTCATATCCGGGTATCTCAGGATCGTATCCTAAAAAAGTAAGTAATTCTGAAAATAAGTAATTTTATTCTTAAAGAACTCTAAATATTGTGGAAAAAAATATGTACTTGCATAACACACACACACAGACACACATTTCTATTTTTCCATTTGACAAAAATGGAAATGAGTGCGTTTTATAAGTAATAAATATAAACCTGAGGTTTCTCGCAAACCCACGCATTTCTTTTTATGGATGTAAAGTAAAATTATAAAATGTAAGTAAAATTATTTATTTTTTATTTTTGCTGTGCTTAACACTCCATCGGGCGCGTTGATCTGACAGATACAGGCGTGTCAATATCTCTGCTTTTGTCCCCTAAAACATTTTCTTACGACCTTGACCTTATCAGTATCTGTCCATCTGGCCCCCTGCTACTTTGGAATGCAGTAGTGACCAGTTCGGTGTAGGAGTATTTCCTGTTTCTAAGCTTGCTTGAAATTTTGTATCTGTTAGATACACGCGCCCGATAACGTTTGTCTCGTGAAGCTACATGGAAGTATCGAGATTCCCTGAGCGTTTTTGATTTATCTTTTTCCTACGATGAGTGCTAAACGCTTTTTAGATTTGAAAAATCAGAAAAACCTAGAGCTAGTTCATAGTATTCTATTTAGTGATGGAAATAAGGAATTAAATGCTGAAGAATTTGATGAAAGTGATGCTGACGAAGAAGATATTTTAGAAACACGTGAAGTTGATTGTCATTTCAGTAAAAGTGTTTATAATGACTCAGAACTCGATGATGATGTTAATAATGATGATTTTTATGTAGGAAAGGACAATAATACTTAAATGGGCAAAACAGATAGGAAGAAAAAATTTGACTTAAATTTAGAATCGGATTCAATTATAATAATTGATTTGTCACTTTTATATTATGTATTATTTGTGCATAACTGTCCTTTTTATACTTTTTCAACAGTTTAACATGTTTAATTAAATGTTTTTTACAGCATTTCACTTTTGTAATAGCGTTTGTGATTAGTAAATAAAAATTATTATTGAAAATATTAAAAAATATATAAAAATTAAATAAAAATTAAAAATATACATAAAAAACTAATAAAAGGTCCGGGTGTAAAAGCCTGGACCTAAAAAGAGTAAAAATAGGAGATTTAAGGTAATACATATTAACAGAAAACATACAAAACAGAGATGTATCTGACAGATACATCGCGCCCGATGCCGTAAGTTTCGAGACGCGCCCGACGGAGTGTTAAGTGAAAACTTGATGAATTCAGTAAACATAAAGAAACCAAATTAAAAAAATTCTGGATTTGAGAGAGGAATAAAGTTTAGAATGGCTCAGGAAGTATATTCTTCGTTTCAAAGATATGTTTATCTTGTTTGAATCTTAGTAATGGCTAGGTATGCAATAACTTGCGCACTTTTATTGTTTTTTTTTTCTATAGTACATATTTTACTTTTGGTAAAATATGCTTACATGCGTTTTGTACCGTAATTTTATAAAATTTAAATTCCCGAGAAATTTTAATTGCACCATTTTTCAGAAATTCATTTTACATAGATGTTCTAAAAACTATTTACTGTAGAAATGTAATTTTGTTACAGAAAATTAATTATATGTTTAAACATAATATGGGACAAGAATGTCGTGATCTCAAGATGGGGTTGCTATCATTAAAACAAAACCTAAGACCGTAGTATGATGTAATAGATATTAAGAAAGTGTAATTTGCAAAAATCAGTTATATATCGTTATAGTAGCTCGGTGCAATGTCTTCACAAACTGGCAAGATTTATAAAGTTCAAACTACTCTTTAAATAGTTTAATGACAAAATCGGAGTAATAAAATAAAGTTTAATGACTGATCAATCATAAATAGTTATTCTATACCAGTGTTTCCCAAACTTATGACTTTTGTGTACCCTTTCTAAATTTGTCGTAACGCTGTGTTCCACTAATAAAAAAAATGAATGTATTTTTTACTATAAAAAATTACACAAAAGTTAAAAATCACAAATGGCTGTTGACATCACTAATTATTAACTGTTCACTCTGCAAAAAATAGCCAATTGAAATATACGTTATCGTAAATTTTCATGGCTGGCTTTGTTTTTAAATAAAATTTTTTTAAATGTTCCTGTGTTGCAAGATATTTCGCATAAGAACGCGTACCACCATTAAACTGTTCTCGTACCCCTGGGGGTACGTGTACTACACTTTGGGAAACACTGTTCTATACTATTTGATGCAAACTAATGTTTAAGAAAAGTAAGAATAAAAATACTTTAATATGATTCTCTAGGAAGTAAATAACCACTAATCTTCAAAAATGGCAAATAAATCATTCTATATTACCAAAAAATAAAAATATTGCTCCTTCATTTAGCATTTTGATATTATGAATGCACTTTTAACATTTCAAAATGAGAAAATTGAACCATAAGTTATGTGCTTTAAATAACCTATAAAGAAGTTTAAGTTCCAAGAAAATATTCTAAAAAAAGTGTTGAATTTCCAGCTTGGCTTTTACGTGTTCCACAAAGAGATAATGTTAAAATTTTCAGATTTAGCGCTGATCAAGTGTAACGTTTTGAGATTTAAATGAAACCTTCCGGAAACAAATAGTTTGGAGAAAAGGCCATTTCGATTCGTTCCCCTGAGAAATTCTTGAGTTTAGTGGTTGAAAAAAAGAAGATCTTTCTTGTCAATGAGATCTGTAGGGCTAGAGATAGCATTTTAGGATTGTAAGGTCAAGAAAGTAAAGCCGAAAAAGCTCGATAAAACGATATCAGCGTCATCTAGTAAAGCGATAGTGCACAAGTATGTGAAATGTTTCCCAAACATATCTTTACCAGCTTCTTTCTTTATACTGTTATTGACAGTTCTATACCTTTGTCAGATACTTCCTTTATTTTACGAAATATTTTATTTTGTTTCAAATGCATTTTGTATTCGAAGCAGGAGTTCAGTTTGAAAAACCAATAATTTCTATTTTGAAGTCTGTTCAAGTATTATATTTTGGATCAAACTTTTCGAGATCATACTGGAGAATAATTGAAAAATTATGAGAAAAAGAACAAAAAACTATTAAAATAATGCGAAAGTAAATTAGTAAAATATTATCGTTTTAGGGACAGAAAGAAGGATTAGCACTTCAATAGTAAAAGGGATTCAACTTTCAATTTGCTAATCTACGAAGAGTTACGTGAAAGTAATTTCCTTATTTTTAAACAACTATCACTATTTTTCAACATCCTTATATTCCCGCTCTGAAAAATACCACCTCTAGAATATAGTTAGTGACAGGAAGAAAGTTTTGTAAATGACCATAAAAATACAAGTTTTCCCTATTTTTTCTACAATTAAAAAATATGGCCCGTAACCGTAAATAAGCATTAAGCTTATAGATCATTTGTAATATAATGTCATGCTCCTAAAAGTTATCTTCTGTTCGGGCTTAGGCAAAGAGTGAGGATTGGTTGTAGTCTGTAGTCACCAGTATGGGAGCCCGAAAGAGGTATTATGGCGCCTCCCGGATCAAGCTGAGAACCATTAGGACCGTAGGCAAACGTTATAATCACATCACCATAGTAAGGACACGGGGGAGTTATAAAGTTTTATATAGTGCCTGACACGATAAGTTGTATGAATTTTAATTAATAGTACAAAAAAAAAATTTGTTTTTTTTACCTTCTGTTTTTGTTGGATAAAATTTAAAGTCAGTAAAAATTAGAATAAAATTTTTTATCATTCTATTCATATCAATTTATTCTAATACTTCTTTTTTTATCACAACTCTGTGCAAGTATAATATTCATTAAGGTAAACTTTTATTATAATAATAATAAAATACCTATTCAGTTTTAAAATTTACTAAAATACAAAATTATTTCACAACTGTTTTTTTAAGTAGAATTTAAAATAAATAAAATATGTATAAGTCTTCCTTAAATGGTATTGATATCTAAAAGTTAAAAAAAAATAATTGCAATATATTCAAACCCTTAGGAAAATTTACTATAGATTTGCGATAAAAATGTCATAGAATATCTTTATGGTGTTTTGCCTATGGTAAAACTCTATCACTCAATTCTGCCATAAATATATGGCAAAATTTTACCATTAGTGCATAGCAAATTTCTGACATAAGCGTATGCAAAAGTGCATGGTACAATTTTTCCATAAGTAAGTCCCCATTGGGACTTACTTGTATACATATCCTGTGGTATTATTTTATATAGCAAAATTTTTGGGATAAAAATGTGTTGTGCTACTGAATATGATTTTTTTCATACGTTATGGGAACATTTCTTCACTGCCCTATGGAATTTTTTCATAAAACTACACTTAGGCAGATTTATACATGTACGAAGTTCATTAAATTACGGAAAGTTCTTTTCCTTTCGGAGCTTTTCACAAGAATAAATATGAGAAAGATAAATTAAGGTGAGAAATTAAGTAATTAAGATACATATGTAAGATAATAATTATGTGAAAAAGCAAAGTACAATTTCCCCAGATCATTCAGATCTTTATGACAAAAACTAATTAGAAAACATAAATTAAATAAAGGTAATATGATTGAATTAAAAATAAATTGAGGGGGAAGTTACAGATTTCTTGTTTTTCTACTGCTCATTAATTCAAAATGTATCAACACATCAAAGATTCGGCACAATATCGTAGAAGAAGACAAAACATAACATTTGTTAATAGTGATATTCATGTAACATTGTTGTAACCGGGGGAGATAATTTGTTTCTAAACGTTTCTAAAATCATGTCTATCCAAAATCAAGTAGAAAAGTTCTCAAATGTAGAAAAACGGTGTTCAAACTGATAGGATATTATATATATACATATACATNTAAATAACCGTTAACTCTTAAGATTATGTCGTAGCCTGGTACAACCAAAGATAATGGTATTTTTTCGCAATGAATGGAGCTGAAAGTAAAAATTAACGATCAACTCTCGAATTTCACAGAAATTCCTTAGAACGCATCTAAATCATTGAAATGTG